AAAAACAAAAAAAACAAAAAAAACACACACTTTGAATAATTTTAAGAAACGTATTTCCAATAGCCTACCCCCACAAAATGCATAAAAGACATTCAGCCAGTGTGAAAACACATATTTGAACTTTGGGGTGGACACAAGACATGGATGCAATTAGGTGCCTGAAGAAAGGACCCATGAATTCAGATCGACACTGATTTCCTGGTGGACCTCGAGAAGACATTAGTCACCTGTATTTCAGCTAACAGAGGCTGTGGCTGGCCTCCGGGGTCGGTTACTTAAGAGACTGGCCAGATATGTAGTGTGAAGGAGTTGCCAAGTGCTATGGGATACAGCGGATCTCAATTTTGTTAATTTCAACTGAAAACCTTCCTGCCTTGGTGTGGCCATCTGTGTACTTCAGGGTGATGTTTTGGGGAAGGCACCCTGGTGTGGACAATGCCCCATCCTAAGGACAGCTTCCTTGCAAGCAGTGTCACCCACCCCTGAGCAACATGTGTTGTCAGAGCTTCCCCTGTCTGCTGTGCAGTCTGGAGCCGCTGATACAGACCAGCTCAGCACAGAGAAAGAGCTGCAGCTCAGCTTAGTGCTATTAAAAGCAGGGCAAGCCGATGACATGGGCACAGTGGAGGTAGAAGAGATGTGTGGTATCTGAGTGGAGGCTGAGAAAGAACTGAGAAAAGATGAAATTAGAGCCATGACATAATTGTCAAGAGAGCAAGCATGTTTGGGGTCTAAGAAAATCTTTCTTCACACCCACTGTCTAACATGTGCTTAATTTTAAGTGTCAATCAAATCCTTTTCTAACCAAGGTGCTCTTAAAGCTAATGAGCAAGTGAAAAACACCGGGCAAACCACAGGATGTGACCATTTGAGCTCTGCTCTGAGTGGCTGCTAAAAGCAAAATGAAAATGAAAACCTTTCATGTCAGGAAGATGTAAAAGCTGAAGGGAACGAAAAGTCTTTTGGAAAGGTCAGAGCCATAGATAAGATAGGAGCATATACCCTATGGTTCTTTCTCTCCAGAATGGCATTGGTACGCATGTGTGCCCTGCTCAGGAAGCCTCACACAGGTAATGAATGCTGCTATGCGCATGAGAGGCTCTGGGTACTGGGAATTTTGCAGAACAGCCTGCAGAAGTGGTAAGGGAGCAGATGCTGGGTCTGTGATGTGCACAGGGAGTAGACCAGCACCGTAAATGGCATATGAGGACAGCAGTGGCATCTCATGTGTGAGCCACACATTCAAACAGCCACCTCCTTAGACACAGCTGCAGGGGGAGCCTCCTATTCCTGCCTTCTGCCCCTAGGCAAATGCCTGAAGTCAGAAGCCTCACCTTCAGTCTCCAGAGCCCTGGTTCCCCATTTCTGTTCTTCACCTTGAACTTGCAGCAGAATCTGGAGGTTCACTGTAAACCCTGGGATGCAGGCTGCAACTCAGGAAGTTCCTGCAAGGGGCGTGATGGATAAGAAAATTCAGGGATGTGGGTGGATTGGGGGCAACACATTCCAAGTTCCAAACAATCATTCGCACCAGATGTATGGTGGGACCGCTTGTATTCTGGCTCTTCTGACTATGCCATGCTGTGTTCAGGAAGTTCATGGAACAGTCATTGATAGGAAACTGAATTTTAGAAGAATAAAACCATATGTGTTCTAGGAGATAAAGTCAGCAACGTTACACTGAAGCACTTGTTCAGGCTTACTTATACAGTATATTCTCAAGCGTAAGGGCATTTGACCTCTTCCGAACTAGAAAACAAGGCTAGGGATATAGTTCAGTGGTAGAGCACTCACCTAGAATGCAAGAAGCCTTGGTTTCAGTCCCCAGAACTTCAAAAAGAAAAACCTAACTGGAACACAAAGCTCAGAATTCATCAGGAAGTCAGCCATATCGCCAATGAGGGCAGGAGATCTTTGATCACAATCTATGTGCTTATTTGAAGAAAGGTTAAAACATTTTCCAAGTCAAAAAGTATCAGAAACTCAAGAAACAAACATAACGCCAAATGGAAAAGTCATTTAATTCAAAAATCATACTTCCACTCATTTCATAGGAATTGTCACAAAAACCAACCAAATGTAAGAAAGCGAAGTTTCAGAGGCCGTTCAGCAGAAACTATTTTCTTTATAGATATACATAGTGACACAAAACACATTTTTAGAAAGGCCTGAACATGGCAAACTGTTTCTCTAGTAACAGGAAAAAAGTCTACTCTAGTCACAGATTACTTTTAATTATGGAATTGGATTCTATGCACCAGTCAATATCCAATACTGAAGTTTTAAAACAGTGCATTATTTATGGTATTTGTAAAAAGAAAACATTAAAGTGCCATTTTAGAAGAACTTTATTGAGCGTATATCACACAGCACTTTACAGTATAGTCAAAGGTAGCCTAAATTATAAATTAAACATGCAAATAGTTTCCTTTCCAAAATATGGACAAAATATTTTTTAGAGTGCTTTTGAACACTAGCCTAGCATTAGCTACTAATCATTTACGGGATTGATCTTTTTTTTTCCAACAAGACTTTTAATAAGTTAATAAGGAACATAGCTGCAGATAATATCTATTTGATAAATATGAAGTTTTAAAATGGCACTTAATTTACATCTTTGATCTTTCAGTAGGCAATCAACAGCCTTTTAAAAAAATTTTTCAATCTTCAAGGCTGTGAATGCTCAGCAAGTGCCAGCTCAAGTGGGTCTCTATGTGAGTATTTTTACATATGTAGATATGTGCACGCACACACACACACACACACACACACACACACACAAACACACAAACACACTACATATACATATACTGTAGAATAACCAGATATATTTTTTCCAGATCCCAGGTTGATCCTGGCATTTAAATACCCACGAAAGCTGCTAGTAGATATCCACTCGGATAACCGCAGAAATGACTGACACAGAACGGCAGACTGTCATAGCCAGTCTGGGATTGCTTCAGGTACCTCAGACACTTTGGTTATCAATATTCTCACGGACTACACTAGTGCAAATTTGGACACAGCAATTGACTCAGTTAACGGCTACCCTTCTATGTGTCCAGGACTATGCTCAGCCTCTGCATTTTAAAGCATTTCACTTTGAAAGATATTTTCATTTTGTAATGTCCTGCTGAACTTTTAGTTGAAGAATATTAGTTGTGAGTTATTTCTGAATTTTTTTCCTCCTAAGAGCAATACTTTATCATGCTGAAAAACATTCAAAGTCCCTCAGTATAGTTCACCTTCTGCTTTTTCTCTGGTTTGGCATTGCCTCTGAGTCTTTTCCTCCCTCTGCGTCCATCAGAAGACCACACTTCAGCAAGGGCCGCCTCTGACTGACATCTGGATTCTCTATGTGGCCTCTGTCTGGCCACATAGTTAGACAAGTACTATAGGCGGCAAAAGGAAGAAAGCTAATTGTTACTTGCTGGATTCTTGTCCCAGGTATGCTGTAGGATTGTGCAAGATTCACAGCTCTGTACGGCCATCATTTTGATGTTACAATTACAGAGAAGTGGTTCGGCACCCAGCAGATCAGCGTGGTTGCCAAACATTCTGAGCACGATAAGATACATTTTTAAAACACCAGCCCAGGGTGTGTGAGAGGGCACTGGGCTGACTTTAAAGCGATGTGGGGCAGATTTGTCGACACAGTTGCTCATAGAACATTCCTCTGAACGTCAGGTAGCCAAGAGGCTCTTTGGTTTCTTCAATGCTGGCTACCTGCTTGGGCAATGTGATTGCTCATAAAACAATGCTAGAGCAAATGATGGGTGCCGTGGTGGCCACTGGTGTCCTGGAAGTCCCACATCCTTAGAGCTGGGCGATCCAGGCTTGCTTTTGGAAGCAGAAGCCAGAAAGGTGCCAATAAGGAGTCAAGGACAGACAATCACATTATCTTTAGCATTGTCTGTCTCCCTTGCCCTTCAATCACAGACACCTTTGGAGACTCTGAAGCCGAGAGTGCTTTCCGTGTGACCATGATAAACAATTTAAGATGAAAAATTCAGCTGACAGGTTATCACTTCAGGCGCAGGTATGGTGCACACATCTCCGGAGTCTTGGGCAAGGGCCTGAAATGACCTTGCCACTTGCAATGGGTCTGTCCTGCTAATACTAGTGTGTCAATTCGTATTGCTTTTTCTTTTTTGCATTTCTGTCCAAAAATCTCTCATAAAAATGCATTTTATCAATACACTAAAAAAGTGGTTCTAATTCTAGAAGACCAATAAAAGCTATATTGTACCTGATCCATCCTTACATATTTATTTTGAAAAATAGGAATTTCCTAGTCTTAGTAAATCCGGATTTTATTTGTCAGGGGGCATGGATTTGAAACTAGCTATCTTCTCAAGTTATGACATTGTTCAGATATGGAATTCTGTGAGTACCTGAAGGAGGAGTGAGACATAGAACTTAATACCCCAAGAAGACAGAAGCTACAACTAACTGCTTCCTGGGCCTCACAAAGGACCAGATTTGGAATCCTGGTGGTTCTCTATTCTGATAACAGCCCATTCTCTGAATCTGCCTTAAAATTCCCTATTTAAGCAGAATTAAGAGTAGGGGCATATATATTAGAGAGAGTAAAATTTCCCTTTAATCTTCAAGTTCCTTCTGACTTGGTGGCTCATGTTCTGAACAGTTTCTCCAGTTCTGCAGCTAACAGAAAAGAGGAAAGCCTGGAGAGACAAAGAAGAACAGCCATCTGGCATAGGCCCAGAGTGGCCTTAAGGAAGCAGGGAAGAGGTCTTCCCATAAGATGTCCCAATCAGGGACAACTCAGGAGGAAGGCACGTGCTTCCAAACGGAAAAGCTGAGGCCAAGTGTCTACAAGTGTGCTTCAGTAAGAAAATTCCCTAAGTAAGAGCCTTGGCCTTCTGACTCTCCAAGTGGGCTCCAACTATGACAGGGCAGGTGACAATTTAGAATGTCAAATGTATCAAAAGCATTCTGTTGGGCTCTTTTAAAAACACAATGATGTAAGAGCATGCATGCTCCTCAGCCCCGTTTCCCACTTCCTCCTCACTCCCAACTCCAAGGGAAACAGGTCTGGCACCTATTAATCCATTCATTTTTTTTTCCTTAGGTTTTCATTGATAGTATTCTTGAGTCCTGTCATGATCCCATCCACACTTAATTCTTGTCCCCTGATTCAATAGTAGTGTCTTGCTTGTTCCTGGGTGAGTTTTTGGATAACAGATACTTTTTGATCTTTGAAATGATAACTGAATTGTGAATCACAAGGACAAAATGTGTTAACTTTAAAGCCATCTTTAAAAATGCAATGGTATAATCTGTATCCATCTTAGGATCTTTTTTCTTTTTTTGGGGGGTCATAGGGAATCTGGAGTTGAAAGGCAAGGGCAGGAACACATTTACTGAAAGGGAAGTAGCAGTACAGTACATCAAAAACTAAAAATCCAAAGCCGTGGATTTTTTTTTAGAACTTATAGACACACATAAAATTTGCAAACTAGGTTGGCCTCATTTATAAAGCCTCGGAAGATGATGTGGATGGAGCTAAGGAGTACAGCAATTGTCCCATTCCCTTCGGTCCTGATATCTTGGGGCGCCAAGAAAAACACCTGAGAAGAAAAACTTAACAAGAAAAGTCACCTCTGGCCCCACTTATTTAAATCCTGAGCTTCATCTTACCTGCTAAGTAAGTGTTCTTTGTAACACTTATTGCCTGAAGAGGTTCTATCTCTAAATTCAAAGCTCGAGGAATTCTTAATAACACAAGTACACAGAGAAGACCGCACACCACCGATCAGTCACACCCACCAGTGGGAGTCCACCATGAGAACACAGGGTTGTTTTCTTCCACCAGCCCAGAGAGGGGACCACGACCTTGGCTCTTCGACCCGGCCTTCTCCTTCTCTTAACGTACACGGTCCAGCAATCAAAGCCTAAATGTGTGGAGCAACTAGCTTAAAGAATATCAAATATAAAACTTTGCCATATAGTATTTCAAATTACTCTATTTACAAGTTTATCTTCAAAAGAAAATAAAAGATACAGTAATTCAACACAATTCAAGTTTTTCCTTTTCTTCTTCATTAAAGGTCCCTAATGGAATCCCAGAAACAGGAAAAGCTCTCCGGAGTGATGCTGCTATCTGAGGAGCTCCTGGGGAACTTTGACAGTTCACAGTTTGTCCATCCGGAGTCCCTCTTGCAGACATCCGTGTGTGGGAAAGATGGTCGCTCTGTTCTTTGGAGGCCGAGTGAATCTGAACTGTCCAGGTGGAAATCTCCATAAAAGGCGGCTCTCACAAGACTCAGCCCCACCATGACCATGGAATCCCCTTTATTAGAAGGTATTAACCCCGTCTCCATACCCCAACCTTTTGCTGTCTCCCTGAGTCATAAAGCCTATTGTATTAGTTTCATGCCTCAAAAGCCTGACATGGCCTTTTTCTGGGTGGCAGTGAATGCAGATACCCTTTAAACTATAAACTATAGGGAAACCCCAGAGTCATCCCTGAAAATCAAGGTCACCAGTGCTCAGCAGCCCAGAGCACTGCCAAAGGGCTGGTCAATGATGGGCAGGGGCAGGGATGAGTGAAAAGGAAGACGTGAGGGAACCAGTCAGCTGGTGTTACCCACTGGGAGGTGCCATCTTGCCCCCTCAAAAGCAAACGCCAGTTGTGTAGACAACAGAAATACTAAGCCTGTGTGTAATTTAATCTCAAAGCGTTACTAGAGTTTGCTCCAAATATATCCTGGTGCTGCTGAAATTCAGAAAGTGAATGGTTCTGTCTGCCCCAAGTAGCCCACTCTAATCTTGATCCTCTGCTTTAAGTTGGTGGAAGAACATTCACAAAACTACCAACAAGGGCAGGGATAGGGGAAGTGTGCCGCACAAAGAAAATGTGGTATTTTTTTTTGGTTTGGTTTTAGAGTAAGTTGGGTTGCCACAGTTACTAGGCAACAGCAGCCCTCAGAGGCAGAGAAGTTTCTAGCTGAGAAGGGGAGGATGTGGGGTGTGTTTGCTCCTTTGCACGAAAGGCTGGATGGAATTTTGCTGATGATGGGCCAATGGCTGTTTTAGAGATGGTGAAAAATTGGATCTTATGTAAGCATCCGGCCTGCAGACAGACAGACCCAGCTGTCCACTGTGGTGTGGGTCTCCGTTAGGAGAAGCGGGCACAGAGTGTCGGCTGTAAACAAAAGCATTGGAGCCAGCCTAGATCTCTCTGACATTCTCTTTGCCCTGCCCTGTCAAACTTAGCTACACTGTGTGCTCTTGGGGACAACTTATATCTTACTTTCTTTTTCAGAAGGTTGGGAGTTTGGATGACTATTGAAACAAATTCAGCATTCCCTATTTAGGATGCTCATGAGAACGCCTTGCAAGCCTTTCTCTAGATCATCAAAATGGAATGGCCTCCTTTCCTGATTGATTTCTGCTGCTTGCAGTATTGCCACACATCAGCTGAGATGATCATGGAGGTGGGTGATGTGAGTTCCCAGAAACATTCATGTTGACAGGTAGCAAGAGTCAGTCTCCTTGCACTTCTCAGCGGCAACAAGAAATAGCTACAACACTGAAATCAGCAGTTGTCATGGATACCATGTAACGCTCAGCAGTTCTGCTGGGGCCCATGGTTAGAGAAACTCCACGTAGTTCTCAGGGATGAGGCCAGTCTTTCCATTCAGAGTTCCCTCCAACCAGCCAGGTTCCTGGGATGGATGAACTGTACAGAAAATGAGAGAGGAGAGACAATGATGTAGACAGAGCAGGAGGTTGTGTGCAGTGGGGTACGTGTGCATGAGAAGGAGGTTTGGGGAATGAATGCAGTCACTTGTTACATTATACAGTTCTAGGGTTTGTTTAAATCAGAGGCTTTTTATCTTTTGTAGCATCCAAATCTTCTGATGAAGGCTGCCCTGATGTTTTTTCCACAATGAAAAGGAAAGCAGACACAGACATTCAAAATTTTGCATGCAATCTTAGGAGTTCTGTGAACTTTCTGAAATTCTTGGTTTAAACTATAAATGACACATTTATATTTTCAGGCTGACCTTTAACCTCCATCTATATGTATCAGCCATTCAGCCATCCATCCATCCATCCATCCATCCATCCACCCATCCATCCGCACACACACACAGGTATACACACACCTACTTAGTATCAATATGAACCCAGTGGAGTGCCTGTGGAGGAACTGCTAAGTTGCAGTCATTACAGATAACTAGCTTTTATTATGCATTCTGCTTTACTTCAAATCCTGACCCCTCCACTTCTAATTTCCTTGCAAAGTCCTGTGCTTTCTGCTTTTCATTTTATAGCTTTTGAATGCTCTTCTGCTCCACTCAGATCTTATCTTATTTTCTGCCAGTGCTCTAGAGTTTCCCTCTGTCCTATGTATCTTCTGAAAGCTGTCCTCTTCCTGTTTCTACTGCAATTTTCAAAGCTACCATCCCTTTGATTTTTCAATATCCAAAGAATATAGATCCATTTCTGTGACATCACAATCCATCTCCATGGAAACCACTGTGATATTATAAAGATTACAGAAAAATCCAGCTGAGTCTACAAAGTAGTCAATAGCAGGAAGGAGGAGAAGGAATAATGGAACCAGGGATAATGAGATATTTGTGCTTGTGAACCAGAGATGTACAGATCACTCTGGGGCATTTACTCTTTATGTATTAGGACAACTCCAATTACCCAAGATTGTTTGGAGAGAATGAATTTCCCCTGTTCCCTTCCTGGGCTAATTAAGTGACTTCCTGAGCTTGTTTTAGAAAAGCATTTCCGTCCCAGCACTACTATGTAATTCTACTTTTGGCTTGTAGGGAGAGAACAGAAACCAAAGGAAGTAAAGGGTAGGGAGCCAAAGGACAGGCACTGAGGCTTACAGAAGATCAATGTCAAACTTGTATAGACTTCAAATGTTTCCTTAGGAAAAGATAAGGTCAAACAGCTATTAGTTGGCCTCCAAAATCTCGAACAATTTCCTATCACTTGGCCTCAATACTAAGTCAAAGTAGCAGGGGTATGATAGATCCATGGCAACTCGCATAACAGTCTACAGAGAAGTGCTGCAGAAGGGTATATACAGCTTCAAAGCAACCTGGCCTCTCCTGTTACCAAAGCCCTCTTTGAATGCACCTAAACAACACCCAAATACCCTTACCCTCTGCTTGGCAGAAGCAGCCAAGGCGACTTCTATTTCTATGCCTATAAAGCAGTGACATAAAATCCCTCCCCTTCAGGGGGTTCTTGTGAAGATTAAAAGAGCCAATATGGTAAAACATTCTGCATAAAGCCAGGCACATTGTAAAGGCTAAATATGGGTCAGTCAGTGGGGAAATCCCATTATCTGACCAGTCACACAGACTACTTCATTATCCTAGCACAATCTGGGTGAAGTCTTGGTCTCCACAGTCCCTGAACATCAGAAACAAAATGAACAAATCAAGCTCATTGCTCAAAACAAATGACATAGAAAAGAGCTAACCAACCAACTGCACAAAATAAACAACAAAAAAGACCTCTCCTACTGGACAGCAAGGCTCACAGCTGAGTTGTTCCTCTGCAGGTGCACCAAGTCCTCGTGCTTTAGTCATTTCTCCCTTCCTGGCCAGCTGTTCAGAGACACAGGTATTGAGCTAGTGAAATATACAAACATTAGAAATGGAATTTGCAGACTAAGGGAAGAATCAGAGAGGTCAAGGGAGGTGCTTCAACTGGAAGCAAGAGGTATGTCCCATGGGACAGCAGCAGAAAAGCAGATTTTGGGTCATTCTGATGACTCGCTGGAGTCTTCCACCCGGGACTGAGCTCAGCGTCGTGCCAGACCATGCACACCACCATCACTTGCACGTTTATTAAAACTGTAGGTTCCCAAGTCACAAGCAAGTCAACTAAAGAAAAATGTTGAGTAGTGGGGCCCAAAGACTTGTATTTTAACTGGTTCACAGTTAAGAGCTACAGATTTTCTGTGCCAAAATGCCTCAATAATAAAGGTGGCACAAAGAATAAAACCTAACTTCCCATTACATTATGCAGGAGGGAGGCAACCCCAAATGTCTCCCTTCTTTCTGATATCTTCTGTTTCCTGTCTTCAGATTTTAAGGCTTAGCTGAAGCCCCACTTCATTCATAAACAGCATCATAGAATTACTCCTGCCTGCTTCCTTCTGCCTCCTGACTCCTAGAAGGCTCACAATACATCCCACCTAGTGTTCTTGGGTCCTATTAATAAAGCTGCTCAAATGTGAAGCTTTGCTTCTCTATCCAGTTTTTCAGTGCATTTTGGTTTGTGATTCAGGACTCTCTGCTTTGACAGCCTTTAATAGATCCCCTCTACCTCGAGAATTATAGTGGTAAAATCCAACACTTAGAAATGCGGTCTGTCAAGCTGCCATGGGCTCAAAGTTTTAGATTACTGATTCATTTGAGAGACTGTACTGCTGTCATTCCTATTTTACCGAGACAGTAAATCAACCAGACGAGAGGTCAAGTAATTGGTACATGGTTATAATGGTAGAACCAGAAGGTGAACCTAGCTTGTCGGACTTGAGAAACCAAGCCCCTTCTTTCCCACTTTATCCTGCCCCAATTCAACCAGAAAACAAGCTCCTTGAGAAGAATGATCCTACACATGTGGTACACGTTTATCGACAGGCCCTCTGCTAGTAAGTACATCACCGGCGTACCTTCTTCCATCTTAAAAGTGACTATAGAGCCACTGACTATCTCATTTTTACTAAGGCGAAACTGAGGCTCAGAAAAGTTAAGTATCTTGCCTCAAAGTTACCCTAGAGGTATACCAAAGCCCAGGACATCTTACCTCAGAATCTGTGGTCCTAACCTCTGTAGCTTTGCCTAGCCCAATGCTCTGGGCATTGAAGATGCTCAGTAAGTGCTTGGTGAGCCACACTATGCCCAGTGGCGAGCACTCTGAATTGTGTTAGTGTCTGCATAAACACACAGTGTTATCGAAAGCTGTCAGGTGGTTCTCCAGCCCAGCAAGCATGTAATAAACGTAAGCTGCTACGGACATGGCTGCGCTTCCTGCCAACAGCTTTCTCTCAGCTGTATCCTCAGATGTATCGCACATCCTTGCATACACAATTCACACATGCTTCCCTCCTTGGCTCACTGAGGATAAGGAGCAATGCATGACTAAGATCTTTAACAGCTGACTGTCCCAGCCCGGTGTGGTGGTGCATACCTGTAATCCCAGCACTCAGGGAGGCTGAGGCAGGAGGATCGGTGTGAGTTTGAGACCACCTTGGGGTTCATAGTGAGTTCCAGGTCAGTCTCAACTACATAGTGAGACCCTGTCTCAAAAACCAAAACAAAAGAAACAAAAAATAGTTGACTGTCCCAGGGGAAGAAGCCCTAATTGTAAGAGCCGCAGAGGTCAGGGTAGTTAAAATGCACTTACTCAAATGTCTGTGAGCTCCTACCATGTGCTGGACACTGTGCCAGGTGGTTGGAGATAATGCAGAATGAGGAAACAAGATTCTGCTCTTGGGGAGGGACAATCGATAAACACGCATGTAGCTTTAAGTAGCAATGGGGGGGGCGCACACAGACAGGCAGACACTGACTCCGACTGGGATTAGAAATCTGGGTAAGGGGAAAGAAGCTTAAAAAGCTAAAACTTAAGTAACCCAAAAGCAGGACATGGGTAATACTTATGGAAGCGGCCTTACGATGTGGAAAATCGTGGTCTTATTTCAAAACTATGCCCTACAAGTTTTCCATAAAGGGCCTGATAGCAAATGTGTCTCTCTACTCAACTCTGCCACTGTAGTGCCACAGACAGTTTGTCCACAGAAAGGCACAGGTGGCCAGGTTCCAATAGGCTTTTTTACAAAAACAGATGGAAAGTTGGATTTGCCTGGCAGATTGAAGTTTGCTAACCCTATTTCAGAACATAAAGGTGACCTGTGAGGTTGCAGTATGTCAAGTGAGGGGAAGAGGAAGCCAGAGGGGCAGCAGCTGGGCCATGGATGGCCTTGTAATTCTCAGGGAATCTGGAGGTCACTGGACCACTGTAAGCAGGGAAACAGCGTGCGACTTCTTTCACTGTACAGTAAGAGTGGACGTGACAAGAACTGCTGGACAGCAGTGGAACTGCCCGGGTGAAAGGGGGAGGTGGCTTGGGCTTAGGTGTGGCGACGGAGACACTGAGGCAGCTGAGACTCCTCTGAGGATCCCCCTATCACCCCACTTGCGAACAGCCCAGGGCTCCCGGGGGGGTTGCTCCCCATCAGCTGAGACCTTGGGCCGGCCCTTCCTGGCACAGTGCAGCAGCCTGAACACAGTAATGCAGGGATCCAGCTCCTCGCATCTAGAAAAAAGTGTCCCAAGAACTCAATTTTAGTACTGGTGCATGAGTTTTCCAGGTAGGATCACACTGTCGCCAGGTGACGAATATTCCCGAGAAGATGAGTTCTTTCTGTTTCCTCTTTCTATCTGAGGTGATCTTGGTGAAGCAAACAGTTTCCTAGTAGATTGGCAAGGGCTGGACTGGAGTTATTTCTGAGCACTGCACATCCATCCCCCACTGCATGAAGTCCAAGAGCTAAGCAGCTGCTCTGCAGTCACAGCACAGGCCCTGGAATCCAAAGGCTGAGAAATTAATCCTTATCAGATAACAGACTTTCAGCTTCATGCGCTCCTTCCTCTTCCTCCTCATTTCTAAAAAAGAAAATACACAAAACACAACACACACCAACAAGAGTGTGTGCACGTGTGATCTAAACCTGTTATTCAGAAAGTTTCTTCTGCTTGGGCTAAAAACAGAGCATCTAAGTTAAACAGCCCTTACCTAGTTTCTCCAACAAGGAAAAACACCCCATACCTAACATGGTAGTAATTTCTTCTCCTACAGAAGAGAAGAGAGATGGGAATAGGATATATGCAGCCTTTTCCTTTAAAAGCAGGACTTAATAAAATACCACTCAACCAATCTAGAAAGTGGTGTAATATTTTGCCAGATCCTTCTTTGACTGTAGCTTGGTCGACACCAAGTGGTTCTTCCTTTTGGTTTTAATTTGGCCCTGCTCTTCAGGGAATCTGTATGTCACTGGCAGGGCTGATTAAAAACAAATGGGTCAACAAACTCTGATATGACTCCCAGAAAACCCAGGAAGGGCTCTCATATGTTTAACCAAACCTCTCTTTTGCTCTCGTTTACCATAACAGGATTTATGATGTAGGGTGGGAGTGACCTTAGGAGCTGCTAGGCACGGCACTCTGCAGGGAGGAAATCATTTGGTAGTTCAAATCTTTTCTTTTCTTTTTTTTTTTAACTACTTAAACTACTTTAAAAAGGAAACAAAAATTAAATGGTGCAACCTATTTCTAAAACCATGTGACATTCCTTCAAACAGTTAAACACTGCGCTGCTAGACGGCCCAAGAATCCCACTCTAGGTATATCCTCAAGGCTGCTGAAAACATGTTGTCAAAAACTTGCACGTGGGGCCGGGGATTTAGCTCAGCAGTTCGGTGGCCTGCCTTGCAAGTGCAAGGACCTGAGTTCAATCTCTGGTACCAAAAAAAAAAAACTTGTACGTGAACATGCACAGTGCTATAATAGCCAAAAAGTGGGAACAATTAATATATCCAGCAACTGATAAATGTTTAAAGTGTATATCCACACAAAGGAGTATTATAAAAAGCCATAAAAAGGCATGAAAGTTCAACATGAATCAACCTTGAAAACATTATACAAAGTGAAAAAGACCAGTTATAAAAACTACATGTTTACAGTTCTGTTTGTATGAAATGCCCAGAGCAGGCAGTTCTTCAGAGATAGAAAGAGGGCTAGCGGTTCCCGTGGTCCAGGTGGAACAGGGTTACAGGCAAAGGGGGCACGGCTGCTAAGGGACATGGGATCGCTCTCGGGGGCGGAGAGCAGATGAAAACATCCCGGAACTGGATACTGATGACAGTTGCACAACTCCGAATATGCTGAAAACCACTGAGTTGCACATTTTAAACGGGTAAATTGTAGGATGTGTGGATATCTCAAGCCATCAAAAAATGGAAGAAGACTACATTCAATAAAAAGAGTCACAAGTAAGACACACAGCACATGCATACCTTTTTTTTTTTTTTTTTTTTTTTTTTTTTCTCCGCAGGGTACCAGGGATCCTTGGTCCTTGAGTTTACAAGGCAGGCGGTGGCACCACTGAGCTAAATCCCCGGCCCACATGCATACCTTTTGGTAATTTAAACCAGCCCCAGCAGGGGTCTTCCGTGTGGTCAGAGTGAAGAGTTGATAGGAACATGATGCCCGCTGTGAGCAGTGAGCTGGAACTTAGAGGACAGAGCCACAAGCCCTGGATTCACCCAGAAATGGGAGGCTTTCGCATACCTTGCTCACCCATTAGCAGAAGCCCCTCCTCTGCCGACGGCAGAGCACAGAAGCCAGAACAACCAAACTACACAGCCTGTTCTGCTTTGCGTGTAGCGAAAGCTGTGCCACACTACGGCTGGGCTGTGGCTCCTCTGCCTAAGTCTCTGCAGGGGAGACTCACCAGTGACATGGTTTTGGACAGCTTTCGCAGACCCCACTGAACCCGCCAGTTTGCCGGGGCCCCAAAGCAGCAGCTGCTGACAGGAGAGTGGCTGGAGCGGCTGTTCTGCACTCATAAAGCACCCAAGTGGACATGGAGAGACAAAGGTTTCAAGCCAGTGCCTTGACAGCTTTGAGAACTGTAAAGGGGACACGGGCTCAGCAGCAGGCCCATGCAATTCTAAGATCACCCCACTCCTGCAGGCCCAGGGTTCAGGGTCACTGGGGTCACCCACACTCTATGCCTTGCTTTCCATCCTGCCATACCTGGTTAATAATCTCACTACCAAGCAGTCCTTTTGAATGTGAGTAAAGTAAAAGTTGGTCCCAGGGGCCCACTGGACTCCGGCTTGGAATGTAAGGCCCTTCTACTTAGCCGGGACCTAAGGAGCCTGTGTGTAGCACCTGCTGGCCAGCTGGAAGCCAGGCCAGGGCCACATTAGCCAAAAAGAAAACACTCTCCTGATGAACCCTGGGAGTGTCAGCTCTCTTCGTAACGTGGACATAGTAAGGATGATGATCCTAGCAATAATAACATGTTAAATGCGTCATATGTGTTCAGTACCGTTGGAAACATGTGATAAGTATTATCTCAATTTCCAATTTCATGACACCCTCTGAGGTAGGCAGAGCTAAGTTTCCATGACAGAGGAGAGAACTAAGACCTAGAGAGGTTGCCACTGCTCGAGGTCACATAAGAGCAAATGGTCAAGCCGGGACTTGTACCTTGGCCTGGCTCTAGAATCCAGGCTCCAGTGATAGGCAGGCTCTACCAGGTGGGAGGAGGTGGAGTCCAGACCAAGGCAGGGAGGGATACAGCCAGGATGGAAAGGGCACGAGCGGTACACATTCACGCACTCCCAGGCCTTTGCCCCACACACCTGAGCCAGGGAAGTAGCCAGTTTCTGAAACCTGACAGCTGCTTTTGCTTACTCCTCTGAGGAAAACAGGCTAACCTTTCTTCCCCATGGAGGCAGGAGGCCTACCCTCAAAGGAGAACTTCATCTACGGAAGAATTCAGCTGCCACAGAAATTTGAGCTTATCAACAGATACAGATTTTCCTCATAGGTTAAAGATAAATTATGGTAAATTATGACACAAATTTTCACTTAAAAATATGCCTTAAAGGGCTGGGGATTTGGCTCAGCAGTGCTGCCGCTTACCTGGCAAGCGCAAGGTCCTGAGTTTGATCCCAGATATCAAAAGGAAAAAAAAAAAGTCTTAAAGAGGAAGTCTTGAAAAGGTAAAAAAAAAAAAAATGCATGAAACAAATACAAGAGCTCAGTTTTATGAGGAGTCACAATTTTATTCTCACACCAGAAAGTGAAAAAGGACAGCTGGTGCATTGTAAGGTGATGCAACGGTGGGGAAATCCACCCTATGATCCCAAGAGCGAAGAGAGTGATAAACACGAACCCGGTGAACTCAGTGCCCCAGAGCTTGCCAAGTGCCTGCCATCTAGGAAATCCGCCTTCCCCGCTGGGGACAGTGGGTCCTCCAAACCCAAGAGAAAAAGGCACAGAGCAGGTGGTCTCAACCTGTGACCCCGACTTTCTGACCGACAGCTCATTCTGTTCTCCACTCCTTTCTCTCTTACCCTCTGTCCAGGTCCCAGATTCTTAAAAGCAAATGCCAGGTATGCCAGGTACTGGGTTGAATCTTGCTGAATGTTCATAACAATTAAATGGGTTGCTGCTAACACCGGTCTATTCTTGGCAATGCCTCTAGAAGTTGCTGTCATTCTCTTATTTTGGAAAAAGATGCACAGACAGGCACACTCACTCACGCTTTTCTGATCTTATCCATTTTACTGAGATTTTCTTCCCTAGATAATTTTATTGAGATTTTTCCCTAGATAGGCATACCCCCCCCATATTTTGGCAAGGGGAAGAGAAACTCACCATTGTCAAAGACTGTGCCTGCTGTGAATGACAGTTCCGAGTCATGCTCAGCTTTGCAGGCGTACAAGGCCTTTGCCTTCCGGAACGGCGTGCTGTGTGAAAACAGGAGTTTATTTAACATTTTTTTCAACCTGCAGAAAATCCCAGCTATTTCCCTTGTCTTCTTCCCTCTCCTTGCAAGCCACCTAGTCGTCTTTCATGGGAAGAGCCTGACAAAGCCAGATGGTAAAACATGAAGTAGGAATACTGTAAAGGTCACAGGAGAAAAATGAAAGAAAAGCTAGAAGCTTCAAGAAAGCACAGTTCTTGAGGGGTCACCTTGTACCACATTAAATCTTTACCTGGGAGTTACAACAGCTGGAGCAAGAGTACCTTGCAGGAGGGGAGAAAGGAGGGATGTGGAAGGACCTTCCAAGCTGCTCTGGGGAACATTCCCAGGGCTCTTAGAAGTTGGCAGGGCTCAGTGAATCAAGGAGTAATTCCAGCAAAGCCAGGTTTCGGCTTCAGGCCACAGGCTGACATTAGCTCTCCCAGATGTTCCTCATTTCTCATTACCTTGGGCCTTGCTGGTGGGGCAGAGTTCCAGAGTGAGAAGGGAACAGGGAAGGCGTGTGTGAGCAGCTGCATATGTTATGTACATGCACGAGCGCACACAGCATGTGGGAAGGAGGGAGACAGGAGAAGGGACGCGATGGGTCTCTGTTTTTGGCTTTGTTTTCTTCCTCATGCCCAGTAGGTGTTAAAAACACTCTCACTGTGCATCAGAATCAGGTGGGAGCATCTAAAAATTGCAGATGTCCATGTTCTGCCAACTTACAGAAACAAACATAAAAATCAGTGTTCAAAACAAAACAAAAAATACTGGGTGGGCAGCACTCTCCAACTGATTGATTGTCACGTGCACCCAAGGCTGAGCAGAAGTTGGCAAACTTCTTTTGCAAGGACCCAACAGTAACTTTTTCAGGTTCTGTGGGCCATATGGTCTTTGTTGCAACCACTCAGTGCAGCACTATAGCTTGTTAGTAGCTCCAGACAAAACATAAATGAATCAGTGTAGCTGGGTTTCAATAAAACTTTATTTATAGAAAATAGACAGGGGGCTAGATTTGACCTACCCCAGGCCACACTGCATTAACCTGTGTTCTAGAAAGTAATTTTGAAGAGCTGGTAAATCCTGTTACCTTCTGTCAGTTGTAGCTTTGATAGCCAACGACTTCCAGTCTATACACCTTTCAAGGGTCACGATGAAATTTCATTTCAAAAGTTGCCTATTTGCCACAAGGGGTCTTCCTTCTCCAAGTCATCTGAGGAAGTACACTAAGGGGCTCAGAGGCAGACTTAATAAAAAAAGGTAAGGAGGTCCTCTGGGTTAGAAAATTATTGAAGGGATTTATGTTATTTGTTTTATCTTCACTTGACTCATGGAGTGCCTCAAGGAGCCAGCAGTGCTTAAAGCTCCCAGGGTACATTGATTTCTAGTGGCTGAATGAGACTTAGCTGAAGAAATGTCAGTTCTCAGGCAAGACCAGAAAGAATCAGGTGAGCCATGACATCTCCGGTCATTACGGAACTGTTATTTCTTGGCATCAACAAGTATAGCTTTCCTTAGAGAAAGAAGAGGCACAAATTGGTGGAAACCTATAGCAGGTCCAAGCATCTAAACCTTCCAATTGTGAATCCTTGAAAATGGAAGGAAAAAAATCAAATAACACAGAGTATGTTGTACAGCAGGGTAAGTAAACGATTATCCAGAATTTGTTGTCAGGGAAACAAGTTTACTGTTGTTCTCTTTGATATTCTAGGAGCTAAGAGATGATGGCCAGGTGGGAGAAAATTGGGGAAGTGGAAGAAAATTGAATGGGGCCACTGGGAATGAAGGCAAAAACCTTTCATTATTCATCAGCTCCAACTGGAAAACAGCTCTTCTAATTTTTTTTAAAGAATAAAGTTTGGGACGAGGGGCATTTTCCGTAATCTAATGCAAGTCTACATTTGGCTAGCAAGTGTCAAACATTCAATGTGCAAATTTCCAAGGTGTGTGTCCCCCACACACCCTTTTGTAAGGGGTGGGGAGCAGAGAAGAGGAAGCATCTAATTGTAAAAAGTGCCAGAACAGCCAAAAACCTGTACTGGTAGGCAAGGGAAGACTGTCATGGCACAAAAGTAGAAAGAGAATCCAGGCCATACAAGCCAAGGTCTTAAGAGACCAAGTTTCAAGGATACCTGATGGCAGGGCAGAACAGGTGGGTAAAGTGCAGAGACAAGGGAAGGCAAGGTTCCTTTGGCTGGGTTTTGTAGAGCTTATTTATTAACCTTGTTAAATAAAGGAAATGGGAGAAAATAGGGACAAACCAGAGAAATCAGCAATGGTATCAGGCAGGCAGAAATGATCAGAGGGAATGATCTTGGGTGCCCAAGATGATCATTCAAAAGGAGTAACTTTCCACTAATATTAGGTGCTTAGAAATGGATAATGAAATAACAAGAAAATAATTCACTAAAAATAAAAACAAAGGTCAGGGGATGCTTTTGCCAGTAAGTTAACAGGTGACCGCTAGTCTTCAGGGCAGTCTTTTTCCCTGAGACTTTCCTCCACTTCTATAGGATGTACAAAAAATGGAAGGGATGACAGGTTACTTTTAGTATGATTTATTATTTTTTTATGGTGCTGGGGATGGAATCCAGAGCCTTATGCATGCTTGGCAAGCAGTCTACCACTGAGCTATATCCCCAGCCCTAGAAGGAGTGTTTCCAAAGGGAGGCATTACTATTCCTAGGGTTGCCAGATAAAATAAATGACACCCAGTTAAATCTGAATTCCAGATAAACACCTTTTTTGATATATGCATACCCAAAGGATTGCACAGGATACACACACACACACACACACACACACACACACACACACAAAGAAATTATTTGTTGTTTATCTCAACTCAATTTAATTGAGTAGACTACATTTTTATTTTAATTGCTAAATCTTCCAATCCCACCCAAGGGAAAATCTTATCTTCTAAAATGCCAGCCCAAGTCCATGCCCTACAACTTCCTCTCAAAATCCTTGAGGAGTTTGCTTTAGCTGAAGTTCCTACCAAAACAGACAGATCCTATTGACAGAAGGGTTGTGTTTGCAGGCTTTGGCTCTGATTAAAAAAGTAAAAAATTTGCACCATCTTTAGTTCTTTGGCTCCCTACTTTCTGGAGTGAGTTTTAAGACCAAACACAGAGAGCTTGGGGTGGTTTCAGCTGCTTCTGTCTCAGCACCCTTTGGGCCTCAGCTGGCCCTTCAAGGGCATGAACATGTATGGATTCTTCTGCTGGTTCACTAGTTTTCACCTCTAAGCATGGCACTCAGAGGAGTTTCCCTCTTGCAAGCTTGCAAAATGAAAAAAAACACTATCCAGTCTGTGCACTATCAGAGGAGGGGCAGCTAGACTGGCAGGTTGCAAGGACTTGATCGTTAAGATATAATTTCCAGGCCCAGGTACAAAAGCAAGTTATGACTATAGGGCTGGGGGCTTCTTGAAAGGAGGGTTGGCTAGAGAAAGACGGGAAATGAGAAGGGACATTATTCCAATACCCTTGCTCTTCTGTGCTGTAAAAGGCATCTTCATTCCTGAGCATGAACCAACTTCTAAAAATGGTGTGAAGAGGGAAGAGGACGCCACTTCCAGAGGAGACAGCATGTAGAAGTTCATAGGACCATTAATTAGGTAGTATTCAATATTTATTTATTTATTTATTTATTTTGGTACCAGGGATCAAACGTGGGACCTTGCACTTGGGAGGCAGGAGGCAGAACCCCTGAGCTAAATCCCAGGCCCTTCAATATTTATTTTTAAAAGCCTTGCCCAGGGAAGGAAACCTGAAATCTCATGTTCTGAAGTAGATTTGGGGAAAAGTTCCAGGGGACCTGAATAATGGGTGTATTCCATACCTCTTGGCTGTATATTGCAAAAGTAATTAGGGATCTATAATCCTCTCTGTTCCTCTTGTGGGCTATCTCTCCAGCAGTATTCCTGTCTTGCTCACCTGGGCACATACTTTAGCTCAGTGACAGTCCATTCCAAGACTTCTTCTGCCTTGCCTATTCCAAAATGGCAACTTTCTTAAGCACCATAGGACATCATGCAGATGGTGCAATGACCAGAGGGGGCAGTACAGAGTAACCCTGATTCCAAACACCTGGGTGAGCACAGTCTATTACAACTTCCTTCTGCCAATCTGAACATGTATTGGGAGACAGAGAGGAGTAGCTACAGGAGGAAGGCTGTAATTATTTTAGCAGTGGAGAGGTAGATAACTTGACAAGCAAAGTGCCCATAGCTCAGGGATGCAAAAGAGTAAATACCATCAAATCAGAGTATATTCCATTTTTTAGCTGATTTCATTATGCAGAGTCAATCCATTTTGCCCAAAGGGTCAATATTTTGCAAATTTTACTTCCTTTTGATAAAAGTGGATGACCCACACTCTCCAAATGTCCATGTCTTTCTAACGAGTGAGGTATTTCTGAAAGGTGATTGTCTCTGGTCATTGTAATTTGCTTTGGTCTGGGTCCTCATGGGGACAATATGTGCTCTAACTATAACAATCTTTACCATTTCTGCTATCCTAGAAGGTAAATGTCTCCTAAAGTACTCAGAAGTTATCTAAGAAATAATTAGAAAAATCATCTGAATGTCAGAGAGATAAGACCTGAATTTTAATATTTATATAATGAGGACAAAAATATTGAAAAGCTATCCTTCCCATCATCCAGGACAAAGATCGATATGGCAGCCAGGGTCTAGGACTGGGAGCTGCAAGGGAACTTAAAGTTGGGTTTACCCATGCGTTTGGAGGAAAGAGTTCTGGGCTGAGGATATGTATACATATATACAT